TGACTTAAGTTGCATTTAATGCTGTAGAATTAGTACTCCAATGTTCTTTAAATATCATGTTTCTTTTATATGTTAGGTAAAGTCATTTAAATATTTCATAAAAGATATGCTAATCAGTGTGTTATAAGCATTGAATATTTATCAGCTTGCTTTGAATTATGAGTGAAGTTTTTCTTAAAATTTACTTTTGACAACAAATGGTGTTATGGCTTACATGAAATGATAAAGCATGCACAGTGTGTTAAAGAGTTTCTGAAAATAGTGCTTGTTAAATAAAATTAAATTAAAGTGAAAGATGCATAAGTTAACCACTTAATTCAATTGTTTAGTGGTCGACATAAAGAGGGGGACGATTTGTTATTCTTACACTCATAATATTATTCATGTTCATGCATTATATATATATTTTTATTGCCAATCATAATAAATATAAATGTAAACAAAAAATTTTTTGAAACTGAGAATGTAATTTTGGAAATATTCCTCATATCACAAATGAGATTAATAAATGTAATGAACTACAAATTGTTACATAAATTAACTACTAAACTTATAAGTTAAAAGAAAAACAAATATGCATGATTTGCTAGTGATGCATGTTAGTTATTTTTTTTTCTTCTTCAAATAATTTTTTTAAATATTGATGCACAGGAATGCACATGCACACCAATATTTAACCCTACGCCTATGGCCCTAAAAAGGCATTTATCGGTTAAAGGTTAAGATTGTAGACAAGACAGTTTAAAAAAAGTAGCATATAACAACAAAAAACAAAGAGAAAAAAGCAAATATAAAATTCAAAAAAACAAACAAGCACAAAAACTGAAGGGAAAAAAAAGATTTTTCTGCTAGTTATGGCATTTTGATTAGGAAGTATCCAGGGCTAATTGGCCAAGTTTAGTAGCTCAGCATTGCACAATTTTGAAATTTTTTCGTGAAAATTACTTCAAATTTCATGAAAATTACTTCAAATTTCATGAAAATTACTTATCAGGACAATGCACGGGAACATATATGCAATTAGAAAAATTAACATTACATTCATTTCAAGATTTTAAATTTATTTCTTGTATTTAAAAACTTACCGTAAACCGGGGCGAGTCTACCCATCCAGGGTCGAGTCTACCCATTTTAGTTTTATTTAATTTTCACTATTTTAAATTGCAAATAAAATTTTTTTTACTGACGGAGAACTTAGTTCAGACTCTAAGGAAGATGGCGCTGTAGTAGTTTGATCCGTTTTTATTTATTTGGTGTTTTTTTAACCGACCTATTCAAACGTCTTTTGAGAGATTTGTATTGAAAATCAGCAAACTTTTAGTTGGTGCTTTGTATGTATATTATTATTATTACTATTTTCACTTTGGTTAAGTGATAAACTTATCTAAGACTAAGATTACATTAATTTTATATGAAAAAAAACAAAAAGAATGTAAGTTTTGCTGTTGTAAACAAAAAGCCAGAATTCGCGGGGCGAGTCTACCCATTCGTATTTAGTTTTAATAAAGCATAATAATATAATTTAGAACTTTGTTTATATTAAAATTAAGTCATTTTAAATGAATTTGAGTATATTATTTTAATTCTGCATTGATAAATTTATCATTAATAAGAAAATTTATAGGTTAAATATAAATGTAAATATAAAATATGTTTATTTTACCTATTTTTTCAATTTTTATATTACAAAATTAACTTTTTTTATTTAATGCAAGTTAAATAAATTATTATTTATAAATTATTATTACCTCCCAAAAGAATGGGAAAAGGATTTTTCATGATTCCCAATGTTTGAATTTCGATTTTGTTAATAATCTTTAATTATTATTATTTATTAATTATTTAATTGTAAATTTATATTAATTTTAATTTATTTTTATCAACAATAATCAGAAAAAAATGTTATTTTATAATGTTAATGATTATAAAAACAAAACTGTGATCAAAATGTGATAATCGATCAAATACTCAATTTGTGTTATTTTATGAATAAAAAAATGGAATATATAATAAAGTTATGAATTTTACTTCATAAATATCCTATATAGTAACTAAAATAACAATTTAATAGTAAAATTTGATTATTTACAATGTTAACATTCATTTTAGTAGAATGGGTAGACTCGCCCCATACGAGAGATTTGTCAGCAGTTCTATAAAAATATACAGTAACAGCGTAACTGTTAATATTTTCTAAAATCGATTTCACAGCTTTAAAGAGGGATAAATAGCGATTCCGAAACACCTATTAAAAGCCTTTTTTCTTTAATATTTACAAAAGTTTGACCACTTGAAAGTTGACAAAGTGTAAAAATGGGTAGACTCGCCTCGGTTTACGGTACTTTTTTACTAAAGCTCTTAATAGTTTCCCCCCATAAACACCTGGCAAAAGAGTTTAGATAGCATTTAAAATATTATTACACCCCTCCAGTTAAATTTTAATTAGCAAAGAAAATTTTCTTAAAAAGTTTTTTTTTCTTGGTCAACTTGTGAAGGGATCAGAATAGCATTTAATATAAAGTAAACTTTTTTCAGTCATCAACATACAAGATAGACCGGTTGTCAGGTTAAAGGGTTTTCACCCATCTTTTTATGTAGGATAGATACGGTTCTTGAAAAGAGAGATCAACTTAGACAGGTGGTCAACTTGACGGTTTTCACTGTATTACGTTTTGATTTTTCATAAAAATGTTTGGCGCTTAGCAATTATGCCAGTGACGCCAAGTTCGCCAACTGGAAATAACAACGCGAGATTCTGGTTAACTCAGGTAACTAATTATCGATATTACACACATAGGTGGATAAAATAGGACAAAATTGCAACCATTAATTACAATAATATAAAATTCCTAAATTGTAATAATAGTGATTGCAAAAATTAATTATAAAATAATAAAATATCGTGAAAATTTTTGATAAACATAATTATAAAATACGATAATATCACGATCATTATTGAAAAAATAACACAAGAAAAAGATAATATAGGGAATCCCTTACGAAAGAAATCGAGGTACAAATGAGGTATATTTTAAAGGTATAAAGGAGGTTGTTATTTAAATACGTCGTTAGGTTGAAAAGGTTGCAAATGAATACCTCAAAATTAACCTCAAATATACCTTAAATATACCTTCAGAGGTATATATGTATCAACCAAAGGTGTTTAATTTTACATCTGTGGAGAGGTAGATATTTACTACTTTAAGGTGTTTCAATTTCAACCTTAGGTTATTACTTATCAACTTGAAGTATATTTTTTTTACACTTGTGGAAGTATTTATTCAACAACCTAAGGTGTTTCATTTAATATTTCAGGTTATTATAACTCTACCTCAGGTGTATTTTTTGACAGTTGGAAAGGTAATTTTTTACTAACATGAAGTGTATTAATTGTATTATGTTGGACCTGAAGTAATTATTTTTCAACCTCTGGTATCTAATTTTATGCTTGTGGAGGTATATATTTTTCAACCTATGCTGTGTCGTTTTACACTTCAGGTTATTATAAATCAACCTCAGGTGTATTTTGTTTTACCTCAGGTAATTATTTTTCAACTTCAGGTATCTAATTTTATGCTTGTAGATATTTTTCAACCTATACTGTGTCGTTTTGCACTTCAGGTAATTGTAAACATATCTCAGGTGTATTTTGTTCTACCTCAGGTAATTATTTTTCAACCTCAAATATCTAATTTTATGCCTGTAGAGGTATTTATTTATCAACCTGTGGTGTGTCATTTCACACTTCAGGCTATTATAAATCAACCTCAAGTGTATCTTCTAACACTTGGAAAGGTAATTTTTTACTAACGTGAAGTGTATTATGCTCGACCTCAGGTAATTATTTTTCAACCTTAGGTATAGATTTTTATGCTATTCCCAAACGTGAGGTGTTATACGGTCAACCAAGTTTATTAATTTTGAACCTCACTATATAAAGAATATAATATCTATAAAGATTTCATATATATGAAGAATAATGAATATCATTAAATTTTTTCACTCGTAGAGATCTTCATTTATCAACCTGAAGTTTTTATTATTAAACCTTCGGCAGTAGTTGCTTCTTTTGCTAAGCTATAAAAGAAAATTTCAAGCGCATAATTCTTCTGTAATTTTAGTAGATCTCATAGGATCTAGAAAACAGAAAAGGCCATCACTTAGGTTTTTCAAATGTGCTGAAAGAAACTTGATGATCATCCATGACAACCTATTTACTCGAGTTCTAAAAAAAAAAAGAAGTCTGAAAGCAGTTTTTTGTTGTCGCCAGTTTTAAGAAAGGTTCGTTCAATAAACACCATTCCTGATGCTATGAATGGCGGATTGTGAAATAATAACGACGAGACTCAATCATCATGAGCCTGAATTTCTGCTTGATTCGAAGTTATCATAGCTTGGCTAAGCATACATGAAAGCAAGGGAGGAGCATCGGAAGACATCACGAAATCTTGTGACGTCACGGGCTTGATGTCAGGCTTCGTGTAAATGGGTATAAAGGGAAACTGGGCGAGCCATGCCCTAGGTGAAACCAGATTGCAGAAACTACATAGGATGGACTGGGCTAGCGACAGGCTGTGGGGACTCAGAAGAAAAATAAATGACATTACTTTCCAAATTTGTTTCAGTTAACAAGTATTGAAATTCTATTTATACTAAAACTATGAGCACTGCAAGTTTAACAGTGAATAAAGTAAAAATGGAAGATCAAAATACGACATTTTAAATCAAGTACTCAAATTTGCTTTGTTACCCATAATAACAAGATCTGTAGGAAAAAAAAGGCTTAGACGCTGTAGCTTGCTAATAAAACAAAAGGAAATAATCGTAGGTAAACAGAAAACGGTTAAAAAGCTATTATCTACAATGATAATTAATTCATTTTTAAGTACATTCGATTTAAAATTCAGTTTTATGTTTATTCAGTTGCATTTGTATTCACGAACAATTAAGAGGAAAAAGTGTTCTTATTTAAATGATATTCCCCTACGTTAAGTCTGCAGAAACTTTTTTGAAAAACAATATTATATCGACGTAGGAGAACGAAAATGTTTACCATTTGCAAATTAATTCCTATCCTTGTTACTGTTGCATGCGTCAACGCGCTTGATTTGAGTTTTTTGAAAAGTGCATTTGATCAAGCTATAGGATCAGCTATGGGACCTTTCTTAGATTGCGTAATGCTACAATATTGTGACTGTGGTAAGATTTTTTTCTTTACTAGTTATTTCTTGTAAAAATTTTTCTTGTAGGTTTGTAAGAAGATTCTTATTAAATTGTCAGTTTTCCTGTGCACAGCTTACTTTCGCTCACCAATCGCCTTGGTTGCTACGAATTCATTTTTTTTCTTTGACGATAATTCTATGAAAATTAAATAAATAATCATTAATAAAAAAATGTTGAAAAAAATTGTTTTAGAGAGATTTTTACCTAGAAATAAAAAGCTATTTAATTAAAAGATCCCAAAAATCCTCATTATAATAACATAAATTTAATTCCCGATTTTATTGAGATAAAATTCAAATCTAATCATTTTGCTCAGTTACCATTGCAACTTCATCTACAGACTTGTTTTCTAAATCTCTGTTTAATTTTCGGCTGCAATAAAATTCTGTGAATTTTTTTTTTATGCCAAAGAGATTATTAGGTACCTAATAGTGTAAAAAGTGAAATTTTTAATAATGTTTTGAAATATTCGATTCATTATTTTAATTGCATGTGCTGATAGGACACAGTTTATCGCAAACCTGATTATAGAAGGAAACATTACTGTTCGAGTTCATTCGCCAGTTTATTTTATCGATGGCGTAAATTCGTCGCCAGGGTTGTTTCTACAACATGGTCATTTATACGACAAGCTGCTCATTCAACATGCCATTTCGTCGAAAGGTTAATTTCTTAAGCATGATCTCTTCGTTCGTCGACAGGGTATTTACGTAAATCTGGTCATTTCGTTGACGAACCATATTTACGGCGGCAGGATCATTTCATCAATTGATTCGTTTCGTCTACACGGCATTTCTACTTCGATCATTGAGATCTTTTTGCCTATTTAAGCTGTAAACATGAAAAAATCAAACATTCACTTTCCTTAAAATTTTTAATTTGAGAATATTTAAACTTAATTTGAATTAATTTGTGAATAGTTTTACATTAACTGAGATATATGTTATCAGTGTAAAATTTATTTGACGAAGTTAACTTAATAAAGTAAAATAGTATAGAAATTTATAAAAATAGCACAATTTTTAATAAAAACATAAAATATTTATTATTCCTCGTACATGATTAGAACAAAACGTAGAGATACAGGGATTATGCTGGAGTGAGAAGAACTGGTAAGAGAAAGATAGATTTAATTCCTTCAGAACCGAGCTTCCATATGTACTAGTTCATTCACCAAGAGTTGGCACTTGGCTCCGCTTTCATCACGTGGTATCCGACTATACTATTTCGCTATTTTCGTGAGAAAGATGTGAACAATCCTGAACAAGATTGATATTTAGCGATCGCATGACAAATATATTTACTTTGCCATCTATATGTGCATTTTTTTTAACATTAGGTATTTCATAAATTTGAGGACATTTCTATGTTTTGAGTGAATAGTTTGTCCTTTTTGAGACATTCTGTAAGGAAAACAGCAATATTTAAATTTAAAATATGTTTAATTAGTTAGAGTAACGAAAGCTATAATAGCAGATGATAAAGCGAAGTAAGTGATTGAAAAAGAATTCACTGTTTGCTCTTTGGTGCGCATTAAGGGTTGTCTCAGTTTTAAGCGCGGAGATGTTTCCCCTCTTACTCCCACGCTGAAATGAACTCGGCGCTGAATGAAGGTGGAACCAAGTGCCAACTCCTGGTGAACGAACTAACGCGTGGTAACGCGTTGCTCCTTTCTCAGTCCGCGGTATCATATATATATTGTTTGTTTTACGTCATAAAAAGAGTTCTGTAAAAATCACCCTTAATTATATGAGTAGCATAAAAGAAAAGTGGGTATAAGTGATGTAGCAGCAGTAGAAGTGTCGCTTTCTCTTATCTAGATTACAAAAGGAATATGGGGCAAAATTAATGTTCGCCACCGGTCACAAGGTGACGAAATGTAACAAATGGCGATTTAAACGTTTTTTGATGCTTATGGTCATCCAATCACAGTTTTTTATTTCGAAACACACCACCTACTTACTTTATCATTATTTTTAAATAAACATGGAACTATTACGAGAATATTTTATAATGTTCTGAAAATTGCTACCATCTTACGCTTATTTCTAAATTTTAGAAATGAACAAACACTGCAATGCTTAACATATTTTCAGAAATACTTCAAAAGTCTTACATAATTAATGCTAACAGCTTTTATAATCGTTTACATTTTCAATTTTTGAGAAAAAAATGGTTACATGTTTTAGAAAGCGACCTCTGTTAAAAGTGCTTCAACTAGAGAGTATCAAAATGTCGTAATTTTGCCTAATTACGCACAACCTGTTTACCTAATTAAGCACAAACTAAAATCAGTAAGTTTTTGCATCCTGCATAATCCTGAGGTGGACTCACTATTCACTATTACAATACTTGCCCTCTCTATGTTAAAAAAAGAAGTTTGCTAACTTTGTCACATGCCACGTTATATTATATAAACTAAATTCAAGCTTAGTTCATGTGTTATGGATTATGTGTCGAAAGCTATTTTAAAAACTTTAATGACCTTTTTCAATGACATTTGATAAAAATTTTTATTTCATAACCGGAGTTAAACAGCCAATAATATTTGCTTGCCCACCCGCCCTTTCAAGAGACACCCAGGGATTTAGTTTAAATACATAAAAAACCAGAAAATAACAGAATTCCAAATATGTTGGAGCTGAATATGCACGAATTTTAAGAAAAATTTAACAGTTTGATCCGTTGAAATTAAATATTTACATATGAATAGACAGGCTGTTTTTGTTGCTGCTTCTACTGCCATTTGCCAATACCAGAGAGCCTTCTTGGGGATACCAAGCGAATTGAAGACAGAAGGTGCGTTTCTTGTTTTTCAGTGGCACCCTCTATGGTCAAGAATACGATTTCAGCCACTCACACATGACAGCCCGTTTTTAGGACAGACCCCTTCATACATTTATTCATTCATCCGCAGATCGTAATTTTGACCAGAACCAGAAAACGATCCATCTCCAATTCAGTAACCCAGAGGTATGATTTGTTATGAAAACGTGAAGGGCTTTGTGACCCGACAGATTTATTGTGCACCAGTCACCATTTACTACACAGGGAGTCTTCTGCTGGTAGGCATCGAACTCACGCCCCGTTGGACATTTGCCCAGTGTCCTATCAACCTGGCTATGCCGGTCCATACATCTCATTCCACAAAGCGTTTATGATATCGATATAGATGAAAAGCAGTGAACTAACACTGTGTGTTATCATAGTGGAAAAAATCTCGTTGACAAGATAATCTCAAAGCAAAATGAAGTGACAGATGTAAAGATGATTCAAACATTCGTCAAAGTGAGAAAATTAACAGATGTAGAAATGAGTCGTTCATTCAAAATTGTGAAAAATACAGATGTAAAGAAGAAGCAAGCATATCCGATGAGCACTTACATATGAACAGGAGAGCAGTTAACAGCCCAGAGGAAGTCTGTTAGCCTTATTGGAGGAATTGTTTGATGAAACTAAATTGCATTTGCGTTACGTGACGAGGAAAAACACAAAAATTTCCCCTTACTAAGACTGATGGCAAGGAAATTCTAAAACAGAATCGATCTACCATCAAGGATATTTTACGTCAAAATTGCGGTCAGAGCGAGATGGAATCAGAATTCGTATCAAGCAGCCATTGCCTTGATTTAAATCTGGGATAACTCATTGGGAGGCAAGCGCTTTATCCTGCAAAACGGCTAAAATTCCGCAGAAAAGAAAAGCACACAAATAAGGGCTGGGATAGCCTGGTCGGTAGGGTGTCGGGCTCGTGTTCGAGAGAACGGGAGTTCGAATACAGCCAGCCGAAGACTCCCCTTGTATTAAATGGTGACTGGAGCACGCTAAGTCTCTCGGAGTCACAAAGTCGTCCTCCAAGTTCCCATAACAAATCAAAATCTCTGGGGGTACTGATCCAGGAGTTCCTTCGTCTTCTGGATTGGGTTCAAAATTACAAAGCTACGGAATTGAACATTGGTATCCGTAAATTCAAATTTTGGGTCGATTGTTCAACGACGGTTATAAAATAAAAACAAGCAAATAACGTTTTGTATTGGTCTGATGTTGTCTTTAATATAATTGAATGTCTTTAATTAAAATTAACAACAATAAAAACATCTATGCACAAACTAAAAACAACATGTTTTTACATTCTTCTTAATTCTTAGGTGGTCTCACAATAGCGATAATTCTTAATTTATTAAAAAGTACTATGTATCGAATATAATAGAGCAAAATGTGAATTGCTTATAATGTTTTGAAATATTCACTTCGTTATTTTAATTACATATGTTGACAGGACACATATTTTCTCAAACCTGATTATAGGAGTAATCATTACAGGTCGTTTTCATTCGACTAGGTCAATTCGTTGACAGGACTATTCGACAACAGGGTTATTTTATCGTCACCAGGTCATTTAATCAATCTCTCATGCCTTTTCTTTCAATGTTAAAATGTTTCGATGCTTAACTTTGATGCCTGCATGACCTTTAAGCCATTTGACGACGCCTAATTTTTTTTGATACTTGTTAAAAATTGATTTTCTGCATCCTGGCTCAAACAAATTGGCATCAGTACAGACTGCGAAAGGTGCCGGAATAGCCTGGTCGGTAGGGCGCTGGTTCCATGTCCGAGAGTTCGTGGGTTCGAACCCCGCCGGCCGAAGACTCCCCGTGTAGTAAAGTGACTGATGCGCGTTAAATCTGTAGAGTCGCAAAAGTCCTCCATGTTCCCATAACAAATCAATACCTCTGGGGGTTCTGGATTGGAGATCGATCGTTCTCTGATTCAGGTTAAAATTACGATCTGTGGAATGAATGGATGTATAAATGGTTCCGCCCTATAAATGGGTGCGACGTATTGTGTGACAGAAGTGGAATTCCTGCCCACAGATGGCGCCACTGGAAAACAAGAACAATCGTACCCCATTTGCCTAAACAGGTATACTTCAATAACAAAAACAACAGACTGCGAATAGATTTGAGACTTTTTTTCCCCCTTCATACTTAGTTTAAAACACCGTTTGAACAGATTACAGGCTCAAAAAACAGGTATCAGGTCAGACTGAGAAAAGATTGGAGAAAGCAAATTTTAATAAAATAATAAAATTGTTTGCTTACTTCTATTTTTATAACTATGAGACAACACAGAAAAAATAAAATGATCTTTGGTAGGGTGCGTGAGGGTTTTCTTAGCATGTCTTAATGTCTTCAAACACGTCTTCTTAACTCCTTCACAAATTTATAATTTCCCTTATAAAAATTAAAAAACAGACATTTTTTGATAATTTTAGTTATATTTTAAAAATATCCTTATTATCTTTCATAATTTTGCAGTCATAAACTTGAAGAAAAAAAATTTCTAAATTGCAAAATGTGTTTATTTTTTAACTAACACAGCTAGTTTTTATGTTTCTAAATAACTCAGCAATTTTGTTTGGTTTTAATTAACGCTGCAACTTTATTTAGTTTTTAATGTACGCAGCTATTTTCTAAATTTTTTTCTGGATTTCAAATCTTTCTTGATGTCAATAATATTTCTTTCATTGTATAAATCAAGTTTATAAGAAGATATTTTTGTGTTGAATTTTGCCAGTATGAAATTTTTTTTCCCTTTCCTAAGAAATAACTAAACATGAAATGATGCAGAATTTTTTAAATTACTGCGTAAAATAATTTTAGATATCATATATTTTGGTATAAATTTAGCAGCCATATATAAAAATATAGCAATTTTAAATACGGTAGATAAATAATTAACAATTTTTAATTCCTTACATAAATATATAATAATTTTAGAAACCATGCCTACAGGTATAAATTTAGATTTAGAAGTATATAATAATTTTAGGTGTAAAATGCTTATAGAAAGCTGCCAGTTTCNAATTAACAATTTTAAATTCCTTACATAAATATATAATAATTTTAGAAACCATGCCTACAGGTATAAATTTAGATTTAGAAGTATATAATAATTTTAGGTGTAAAATGCTTATAATGCTTATAATGCTTAGGTGTAAAATGCTGCCAGTTTCGTTTAGAAATTTAGTATTGTTACATTTTGAAGAATTATAAATGCATTAAAAATGTATAAATGTTAATAGATACTTTTATTATATATTTACAGAAGTACTTGAAGAAGAAAAAATATGTTGGGATAAAATGCCTCAAAATGTAAGTAAAAAAACAGTTCCGTTTGAAATTTAATACGTTTTTTTTTCAAAAAAAAGAAACATTGTTTATTAAAAATCTATTATAATTGCAAAACATATAAAAGTAATTATTTCTATTTTTTTTCTCATTTTTTTCAGTATCATTTAGTTTATATATCTTAACATAGAGACCCATAAAAGTATAGCTGTTTGTTTAAGCTAGATAACAAACAATTAAAATTATCAAAGAAAGAAAAAATCAATTGTCAAAGATGTAAAAAATCAAAGATGCAGATTTGACCTCTACGATACAAATCTGACGCAAATGCGTAAAAATTCGAGTACTAGCACTCAAGCTTAATGGCTCACGGGGTTGACCTCAAGTATGATAAATTATTAGTGCATATGATACTTAAAGTAGTGAAATCAGACACAAAAACGTATTTTCTCTGAATAAACATACCTTTTTTTTGGCCGGATTTGAATTCCTTGTTGAATGTTGTTCGTAAATGGTGGTAAATGGTGTTGGGGAAAATGTTTAATCTGTAAAATATAATCAGCAATCTGTAAAATATTGTTCCAATATAGTGGTCTTGGCAATAATAGACGTATTGTAATAGACTCGGTAATAATAGTCATTACGTTTGGGTTACTAAAGGATCAAATTTCTTGCTAATGGTAACTAGTGCTGAGGTCTTCTCTCTTCTGGGAGGTATTGGTTTGATGCGACAATATGGTTTGCAAATGCGACGTGTTGAATGAGCACATACGTCACAAGTTTTTGAATTTCTCTTGATCTGCTGTTTATAATACTGTTGTAGTTATAAGTATTGTTTGGCATCTTGCAAAATTAAGATGGAAGAAAAAAATGGTTGATGAACCCTAGCGACAATTTCACCTTGTCCCCTGTTGGACTCATAATTGGTTCAATATGGATCCTATATGAACATGCACCGAGGGATCAATATTGAGTTGTCTAAATTTTTATAATATTGGTCGGATATATTGCCTATATTGGCTGAATAATGAATAAAAAATATCGGATGAATCTGACAATTTTATATAGGGCTGATATTGGTTGTAAATTGGCTGTAAAATATTCGGGTGAGTCGGACAATAATATATGGGGCCAATATCGGATAATAACGGCCCTCTGAACCTTTATTGAGCTAAGATTCGTGAATATTGGCTCAATAAGGGCTCAAGCTGCTTTCCTGCTAGAGAACCGCGATCATAAATTTGATGTGCTGAAAAACAAACATCATTAGCATTCAAAAAGAGTTCAGAATTTTTGGAGGAGTGCCAAATATATCTTACCATTTTATTACAATTTAGCAATAGTAATTCATGATGAAATTTTGCACCACAAGTTTCTGTATTATGATGAATACCTACCTATATATCGCCTTCGCGTCAGTTGGCACAAAAGGCCTCAAGTCTCTTTTTTTTCTAGGTATTCCTGTCCAAAGCAGGTTCTGTTGTCTCATCGCATCCATTTAGTTTTGCTTTGCACAAATTTTGGCGCATTTATTCCAATAGCAAAAATAAAAAAAAGGGCCCTTATTGGTCCATTATGCACGAATCTTGACTCAATAAGGGTTCAGAGGGCCGTTATTTTTCGGATATTAACCTTAAATAGAATTAACCCATTCATCCGATATTCTACATCCACTTTATAACCAATATCGGTCCTGTAGTGAATTGTCAGCTTCACCTGCTATTTAATATTCATTATTCAGCCAATATAGACCATTATAGGATGATCAATATTAAGAAATCTATTTCATCCTATTATTGGACATATTCTTAAAGGACCCATATTGAGCCTATTTTGGGCCCAAATGGAGCCAAGATTAATTTGTTGATAGGGTATCTTTGTTAAGTAAATCTTTACCTTCATTGTTTATGTTTTCCATCAGGTGCCCAAGTAAGGTGTGACCCTGTTTTAAACAAAGGGTATGTCCTGTTCATCTCCATCTTACTTTCAAAATTCCCTTATTAAATGATAATTTTTCCTTTTTAAATTAATTTTTATTTGAAACGATGTTAGGCCAGAAGATTTTTAAAACAATGCTTACGCATTTGTTCTGAAATGCTTTCAATCTGTCTAGTTCAGTTTTTTGAAGGTTTCAACATTCAGCACCATATGAAAGCAAGGAATGAACAAAAGCTTCAAATAATTTTTTTTTTGTTGATTTCATAAGGCAAGGTTTGAAAGACAAGGAATTTAGTTTAAAAATAAAATAAAATTAAGAAGTGAGTAAAATTAAGAAGCCAGTATTTTTGAAAGGTATTTTTATAAACAATAATAAACAGCGACAAATACTATAAAGAGAAGCTTTCTATTTATGTATCAAATCTATTGCCACCTTTTTTATATGAATGTTGGACTTTACTGCTCTGCGAATCTTACATTTTCATATTTGAAGTTCGCCAAAATTTTTAAAGGCTTCTGAAACAGGTTCTAGCTTTTATCATTACGCTGTTGTCTTTTTTTTACTATTGCTGTAAGATGTGTGATAGAATAAATTCTTTATCTCTTCCTTCGAATTTATTTTTTATCTTATTATAAAATTTTGCATCCCTTCTCATGGTTCTCGTTTTATTCTTGTTAATTTGTATACAGGTTAGATTTTTCAATATTTATTAAATTTTTCGGTCTTCTTTTCAAGACAGATAAATCTAGATGAAATCAGGATTACGTCATCTGCATAATCAAAATCTTCCATGGTGGATCTCATCTCTCTTCTTTCATTTTTGATTGTATTGTTCATAATTCAGTCAATAGTAATCATAAATAAAATCATTAATACTTGTCGTCAAAGAAGTCTGCAAATAATATATCTAAAATAATATTTGTAAATATTATAGCATAGAAATATATATATATAGGATTAAATATTTAAAAATGCAAGTATGAAATATTTTGTAAAAATGCATTTTAAAGGTTTCTTGAAGCCAAAAGACTCACCCATTACAGAGCGGGTTGGGTGACAACTTTAAAATTTAGAATTGGAATTCCTACTTATTTTTGATTGCAGATTTAGATTCTCCAGAAAAATTTGCTTTATTTGATTTTGGTATCACTGAATGCATTCTTAAAATATTTTACACTCTTATTCATGGAGTTCTGGTCCAATGCATTTTTCTCGAAATATTTGACAGTTTTCATATTTTTTGACACCTTGCATAACATGAGCATACTATATGCAAGGTATTTTTTTTCTACCCTGTATTTTTAAAATTCCTATAAGAAATGAAAACCAAAAAGGAAACACATTAGTGGTTAATATTTTCCGAATTTATTTAACCGAGAAAAAAAAGCACTTTCGAAATCTGGCAAAATCACGATACAGGTAGTCGAGAGTAAAAATCAACAAGACAGAATCAACAATCAGAGAAAAGTTGAAAACTGATTATTAAAAACATCTTCAAGTTTCAACCCCCTATAAAACCTGCCTTGATGTTTATTGTATTCGCCTACATATATTCTAATTTGTCAGATTTCCATAGTGTTAAATATTGATTGGCAATTTCTGCTTTCATGTTGCGATTTATATTTTCATGTCCTAAACTGTTAAAAATTCCAAAAATATCGTGCCACGTTGCACAAGCATTGGTTCTCAATTGCTAGGTACATAAAATGGAGCTCAATTTTACCATATTTTGGTCTTTTCACTAGCTCCAAATATCACTAGAAGGTTGCATCAAAAGTAGGAATTTTGAAGGAACAAAACACCTTTTCATTCTTTCTTTTACCAAAGCAGAGGAAGATTGCACCATTATTAGGTATTTCCAAATGGCTCAAATGCAGGTTGCTGTTTACCGTAAAAAAATTATTTACCGTAAGTAGGTTATTTTAGGACATATCTCTAACTATTTTATACCACCGACCAAATTTAAAAAGGCAACATAAAAAAAATGGAAAATTCAACGTATAAAATAATTAATACAAATGCATGCATTTACTTATCTTAACCTAAGTTAATACTTAAAACAACATGCATTAGCCGTCCCGATACACCGAGAGAGAGTTGTAAAGAAAAAATGGCGTCGTAAGCAAATATCGTTCAGTTTACAGTCACCGTCAAAGTTTTGTGCCTTTTATCAAATTTCAGGGCAGTTACTTGCACTATAGAAGTATTTCTCGATCATATTTCAAAATTTATGGTGCAACCAGAATAAAATGATCCTTCCTTTANAACTTTTTTACCCAGAATAGTAATGTACTGCTCAGAACGCATCATACCGTCAATAGGCTGCAAAAGTTCAACCCCATTGTAACCGAAACAACCCCAAAACATCTTCTTTAAAAAACACGAAAAAAAAAGTTTGTTTCAATTAATTTGCACAAGGGTGTAAGTTAATACTTGAAACAACATGCCTTAGTCGTCCCGATACACCGAAAAAGAGTTGTAAAGAAAAAATGGCGTCGAAAGCAAATATCGTTCAGTTTACAGTCACCGTCAAAGTTTTGTGCCTTTTATCGAATTTCGAGGCAGTTAGTTGCACTATAGAAGTATTTCTCGATCATATTTCAAAATTTATGGTGCAACTAAAATAAAATGATCCTTCCTTTAGTTAAACTTTGGGACAATCAGACACTTTGCACCGAATGCTGGTTTCTAGATAGTACTTAGTATAGTGTATAGTACTTTCATTTTTGTTGATTCAGAAGACGCATAATAAGAGTGGTTTTTATGGAACACCCTATACTCAAGAAATTCACTGATACTTTATGATTGCTATTGATGGTATATGAAATTTTTCATAGCTATTCAGTGAATTTTTAAATTATATTTCAGAAGTATTTCTCGATCATACTTTACAATTTATGGGGCAATTAAAAAAAATGATCTTTTAGTCCGTTAAACTTTGGGATAATGAGAAGCTTTGCACCAAATACTGGTTATAGATTTACTGAGTTTTTTTTTTATAGTGTATTGTATTTTCATGTTTTTATTTTTGTTGATTATAAAAACGCATATTAAGGGTGGTTTTTAAGGAACACTCTTTACTTAAGCCATTCACTGATACTTTATGATTGCTAATGATGGCATATAACATTTTTTATAACTATTTAATGACTTTTAAATTGTATTTCAGGCTATTAACTTTATTAGAAATACAGTGATTGCACAATGTGATCTCAATGGTGAATCTGGATTGCCACTGTGCGAAGAGGGAAATGTAACTTCATGCCTTTTGCCTTATATGTGTTCGAATAAAGAGAAACTCGTAAGGACGTTTCAAGCAATTTATTACCATTTCCAAAAATATATATTGTCAGTTTTTTATACTTAAAATTGCTAATTATTTATTATACGATTTATTACCTAAAAAGTGAATTAAATTTTGTATACAACTTAAATTTTTCGACTTTAAATTAAAAATAAATAATAAAAAATTTTAAAAAATTTGTAATTTTCCATCAGAAATTTTTTTAATTTTATTTATTCAATTAAAACTTCATACTATTACCAGTCTATTTTGGTAACTATCCTCCCTTAACTCACGGAATTACCATCACTGATTAAACAATTAATTAATTACTGAGGTCTTAAAAAAATACGTGACTACGTACATAATTTGAAAAACCTATGAAAGAAAATAAGTCGCGAAAATCCTCCCCAAAATACTAAAAACTGCTAAAAATAGTGTTATTTAAAAGAAGGTGACCCATACAGTTTGAAAAAAAAATGAAACAATCCGAATAACTTTTGACTTAACGGTTTGAAAGGATGATTTCAAATATGCTGAATAATTATTGCAGACACCTCATTTCGCTAAATAGACGTACCTTTTTTTACGTCGGATTCGGGTTCCTTACCCTCAAAATATAAGGGGTTGCCACTATCTGGATAATATGGGCCCGATTGTTTTTGTCAGGACAGCAGTCCAAAATTTGAACCTCTTAATGTTAATTATATTTTTCGTGTATTTCGTCGTATCTCGAGAAATTTTTAAGCGAATCGAAAAATTCTTGCATATATTTATATAAATTCGCTCATCCAAAGAAAATTACACAAAAAATTACTTTTTATTTTGCTTAATTCGAAAAAATTTTATCTGTAAGGAACTTAAATTTTTACGTCATTTTAAAAAAGTTAATTTTATAAGGAAAAATACAAAATTTGAACGAAATCGATCAAATAGTTTTGGAGAAATAGAATATTTTAAAAGTCAGATATTTAAACTTCTATATCTCTTGGAACTATTCTTTCCGATTTCATAAAAAATTTCGTATTTTGCTGTAATAACATTCTGAAAAATGGTCAAAAAATTCCTATACCGAAAGCATGTAAACTACCTTTACATCTACAGAAACTAAAGAGAGATTTTGAGCGCGCTGATTGGATTTCTCGGAGTTGACCTCTGTTACTCCTTTTTGTAGCTCCTTCCTAATATCATTTCTCCGTAATTTGTTCCGAATTGGCCAAGAACGCTGTAAATTAACTGGCCAAAGACCGAAATTGTTCTTGATTTCGGGAACTGGCCTGCCAGATCGCGAATTGGCCGAGGATGGCTGTGGATGGCAGTGGCACTTGACCTTAAAAAAACATCAGTGTGGGATATACCGGGCAGTGGCACTTGACCTTAAAAAAACATCAGTGTAGGATATACCGGGCAAATGTATACCGGGCAGTGCCACTTGAGCTTAAAAAAACATCAGTGTGGGATATACCGGGCAGTGGCACTTGACCTTAAAAAAACATCAGTGTAGGATATACCGGGCAAATGTATGCCGGGCAGTGGCACTTAACCTTAAAAAACATCAGTGTAGGGTATACCGGGCA